ACAATATTCACAGTGAGACAATATTCGTAGTGAGACAATATTCAGACAATATTCGTAGTGAGACAATATTCACATTGAGACAATATTCACAGTGAGACAATATTCGTAGTGAGACAATATTCACATTGAGACAATATTCACATTGAGACAACATTCGTAGTGAGACAATATTCACATTGAGACAATATTCACATTGAGACAATATTCGTAGTGCGACAATATTCACATTGAGACAATTTTCACATTGAGACAACATTCACACTGAGGCAATATTCACATTGAGACAATATTCGTAGTGAGACAATATTCACATTGAGACAATATTCACATTGAGACAATATTCGTAGTGAGACAATATTCAATTTGAGACAATATTCACACTGAGACAATATTCACATTGAGACAATATTCACATTGAGACAATATTCGTAGTGAGACAATATTCACACTGAGACAATATTCACATTGAAACGATATTCACATTGAGACAATATTCACATTGAGACAATATTCACATTGAGACAATATTCACAGTGAGACAATATTCATATTGAGACAATATTCACATTGAGACAATATTCACATTGAGACAATATTCTTAGTGAGACAATATTCACATTGAGACAATATTCACATTGAGACAATATTCGTAGTGAGACAATATTCACACTGAGACAATATTCACATTGAAACGATATTCACATTGAGACAATATTCGCAGTGAGACAATATTCACATTGAAACAATATTCACAGTGAGACAATATTCGTAGTGAGACAATATTCACATCGAGACAATATTCACATTGAGACAATATTCACATTGAGACAATATTCACATTGAGACAATATTCGTAGTGAGACAATATTCACATTGAGACAATATTCACATTGAGACAATATTCACATTGAGACAATATTCACATTGAGACAATATTCACATTGAGACAATATTCACATTAGTGAGACAATATTCACATTGAAACAATATTCACATTGAGACAAGACAATATTCACATTGAGACAATATTCACATTGAGACAATATTCGTAGTGAGACAATATTCACATTGAGACAATATTCACATTGAGACAATATTCACATTGAGACAATATTCACATTGAGACAATATTCGTAGTGAGACAATATTCACATTGAGACAATATTCACATTGAGACAATATTCACATTGAAACAATATTCACATTGAAACAATATTCACATTGAGATAATATTCACATTGAGACAATATTCGTAGAGACAATACTCACATTGAGACAATATTCACATTGAGACAATATTCACATTGAGACAATATTCACATTGAGACAATATTCGTAGTGAGACAACATTCACACTGAGGCAATATTCACATTGAGACAAGAGACAATATTCACATTGAGACAATATTCACATTGAGACAATATTCATCCTGAGGCAATATTCACCCTGAGGCAATATTGCCCTATAGCAACCACGATTTGAGCTTTACACCAAACAAACCATAAACTGTCAGGTGTAAAGGTGTCATTCACATGTATGTCTTTGGTATATTCCAGTATTCAAAAACAGTAAGTCAAGAAAGATAACTCTTCCAACACTACCGATTCACTACATTCATGTGATTTCTAAAATTAGCAAACGAAAGTTGCTACTGAAGGTCCATGGTGGTGGTAATTTGACAAATGTACTTCTGTCTAAAAAACATTTCTGTGGAAAAAAATGTCTTTGCGGTAATCAGGCATTAGTTCTGATGTTCAATTGGATTGTTTTTGTCATTGATACATAGTTAAGTGTCATTGTAAATATATTTTAAATTTCATATTGAAATTTTAAATCAAACAAACCATATGTTATTTTCATAATGAACAGAGATGCTCGGCTTCAGTGAATTTATAAATCATGATGTATATCAAAATGTATTTAATATATTCATAACTCTATTGATGTTTTTGCGCATTTTACTAATTTATCAGTTTACCTGCCTAGGTACGTATTCAAATTAAACCCGTACTGTTGTATCTCACCTTGTATTTGGTGTGATGTCGAGTGAGTCCAAAGAAACACAAACTAAACGCCTTTAATGCTTTCCTTTATTACATATACAAAGTTCCTAGTTCCTATAGCCATAGTTCACAATCATCACAAACACAGTGTAGGGGTTCTTGGTTGCACCTAGCTTGCGCCCCAACCTGCGGTAAAAAACTGAAAAATACAGAAATTAACCTGTCCTTAGTACATATTTCAACAAAATTAATCAAACTTCAAACGTTTAAACCGTATTAAAGTTACCTCATGGGTCACCTAAGCCTTGCCAAATTTGCACGTCTGTTTCCTTTTAACTTTCACGTAAACATATCCCATGATGCATTTTTCCACGACGTACAAAGAATGAACTCTGAACCCTGACCTGACTACCAGAGCAGACGGACAATATAAAACTAGCGTTTCACTACATTTGGTGAAAAACAATGAAACACATGCAAGCTCTTTCAACCAAATTGTCTCGTGCAAGGGAGACTGATAATACCAAAATCAATCTTCTGTGGCTGTGCTCTAAAACGTAAGATATTCCAATCTTTACCAGCTTCGGTTGACTGACAGACAGAGATGCTCATATGATCTCTCGTGTGATAGGAATGTCCGCCAGGTGGAATTTTTTCTTTATTTAGAAACCGGCTGTCCCAAATTAATGGTACATAAGTAATCTTTGCAAGTTACTTATATACTACAGTAATGACAAAGTGCAGCAAAATGCATGTCTGTGTACTTGCGTTAACTGATTTCCCCACTGTCGCTCGTCTTTTGTGTACTGTGAACCTCTAGATTACAGAAGAGCGTGTTTGTCTGAAACGAGTTTCTGCACAGCGTGTGTTTCTGCTTTTTTAAGATACCACAACATGTGTCGGCTGTGAAGTGTTATTCGGCAATATAAAAAGGTCGTGTCGGTGTGAACGGGCCTTTCTGTGTTTGAATAGTATTTTCATCATTAAGAGACGGTATGGAAGTACTGACAGAGGTAAGTATATTTTATTCTGATGTTTAATGATGCATATTACAATCACTGTTAGAAAGTATTTATCATAGCTAACACCACACCCGCATGACTCAATGTATTTATCTGACTAATTCTGTATTGTGTAGCAGAAATGTATTTATATATGTATATACATCAGATGAAACTTGTTTTCTGATGGAAGTTAATAAAATTCGATTGGCAGAAAAACGAGCTTACGTTTTAAAGAGAATGAGAATAAATGTTATCTTATCCTTAATATCAATTTGTATTTACCATTCCAACGTTAAATTTATCGATGCAAGAACCAAAACAATATCCACACGTATTTTATAAAAGATGTGGAAGATGGTGGTCTATATTATAAACTAAGACTTACCATTTTGATCTGATTTGATAATATTACCATTTAAGATTTTTAGCATTTGTCTTTTAACTTTGGGTGTTTCGCCGGTTGATGGCCCTAATGACCTTTTTTGCGTTGACGGGCCGTTAAGAGTGTAGTAATGATAATAATTTAAGCCGGGAAAAAGGGAAGTAATAGTCTTAGGCTTATTGATCTAGCTGATATCTGTGTTTATTGTATATGTGTAGTATGTAGTACTGTCCAATGGCCATCAGATAATAAAAAACAGACAGATTTCTGTCACAAAATGTAAGTTGTGCGATGGTTGATATCAAAATCAAAGCTAAAATGCAGCTCCGGAAGCGTTATACAGGGCATCTTTCATAACAGACGAACATATTACTCTAGGCTAGTCCTCGACTATCTACAACAGATTCTTCAGCAACAGTCGCTTATCTCGATCTTTTTCTACACTGACTCCAACATGCACATCTTTCCCTCTTTGAGAAATTCGAATTTCCCGACGGTCACGTGCCTATATCTCCAAGCTGTAGTGTTTCCGTGTCGCAGTTGATCGATGTTCCCATTATCACGATTTTCGTTCGAGAAGTCGTTAACTGACGGACAAACTCGTAAACAGGATTTCAAAAAGGTGTAGGTTGATGAAAATCATGGGGAAGATTTACGGTCGTCATAGTGATCTCATTGAGAAATAATGTACACTTGTTAGCTTACTTGTTCCTGTACACTTTATTCTTATTTTAAAAACGTGACATTACTTTCTTGGTTTGACCAAGATTTATATTGCTTGTTTCGTCGGCGACCAGGTTACGCTTTCTCTTGCGAAACTTCAGGTCTTATTTTCATTAAACATGTGCTTATCAATGGGTTTTTGTGTAGATATTTTTTCATGTTTTCCCTCGTCTTGTTGAATTTGAGTTTGGATTTTGATTACGTTGACGTTTTATTTTCTTATTTATTTGTGTTTGTGTTCTATCATCGTTTCATCATGTTGAGATTTTTTTTTAATTTTTGTTGAAGCCGATATTTCTAGCGTTGTATTTGTAAATCAATATCGCACATTTCAAAACAAAACAAAAAGCAAAAAATATGATGATACTTGGGAAAGTGCAAGGAAAATTCGTTACCTTTATCTGACCGGAATAGACGCAAGATAATTTGGTGTTACCACAGCTTGCTTCCGTATACCTTATGATAAAATGCACAATTAGGCGATTGTTTCTAAACACACATAATGAAAGGAAGGAGAGGGCGTGTCAATGGGAAGCATTGGAATTTAAAAAAATACAACTTGCTTTCTACACTTTGCACGTGTTCTGTTTATCTCACGATAATGTACTGTTACCAGTTCAAGATAGACCGTGTTTCAGATCTGCAAAGGAAACACAAGCTCCAGTTTATGGTATACAGATAACAGTGAGAAATATATTTGATATCAGATGAATAGAAGGCCTTTTGAATGTTATTGGTCGCTGCTCGAAATTTCATAAATTGTGAAATGTGAATTATATCACATTCAGAACTAGATTTCATGACAATTTGAAAGAGGTATTACATTCTGTTCAATTTGGCTCATCAAGTAATAAAACGATTTCTACAAGCAAAGGAGACATTGTGATATGTTATGAAAAAAGTACTTCATGAAACAATTTTTTGTATCTTCAGCGTACATTGAATAACATTAGGTGAGAAACAATAAGTACATAATTAGTTGTGTAAGAGTTATGATTGTGAATAGAGTCATGTATTACTTTACTTTTCTGTCTCCGCTGAATTCTAGTAGTATATGCATGACATTGAAAACCTGCAACGTTCTCTCATAGTTCCACCATAGAATTATATGTCTATGGATGACAAAGTGTTGATTTTGAGTGGTTCAGATGATCGCAGCTTGAAGCACAAATTTGCATTTTCCAATGATAGATATCATATAACTTCATATACGAATAAAAAACATATCTCGTTTAGCCTTTCAGAATGGCATCTAAATGGAAATGGACACAAACAGTGATGCTTCTTACCAGTGTGGTACATATTGTACATGTTTCGGGCTTTTTACCAACTCTCACCACTTCCACACCACCTGATACATACAGTCACGTGCAAATAACGCGGGATGGAGTCCTGAAAATGGCAGCTAATTTTCTGACTGACAATGGACTCGTGGATGGGTCATACACAAATGCAGAGAGAGTCTTGACAAAGTATTTTGGATCAGGTTTGTATGTAAATCAACTTTATCATATAAGTTTTACAACAATTGCTAAACAAAATTTTCCATCTTACTGTAAACTTTTCTGTACACCAGTCTGTAAGCGTGTGAGTGGAGAGAAAGCGGAATACCCGGGAAAAAAACCCACGTGGTCAGTTCCGTGAATCGAACCCGGACTTTTGACAACTGTCAAGATATATTCTCTAACACTGAAGTTTTGAAAAATGTTGTTTTCTATCTCGAGTACTTTTGCGTATCAGCTGGATATTTGGGTAAATTTGATTCCTTGCAATATTTATCTATTCAATTTTTTATCCACTTTTCAATCATTAATTGGTTTCACCATTGTTGATAATTGAATAACACGTTATAGATACGTGTAGGTATCTGTTCGTAAATGGAAATGGGTGGCTGCCGAAAGGCGCAGCGATAACGCACACATCTTTAACCTAGCCGTCGGGGGTTCGATTCCAGGACTGTACTGGAAAAGGTAGGAAGTCACATACCCGACCACGTGGGTTTTCCTGGGGTATTCAGGTTCCTCCAATGGTAAGGTCATTCAGGCGAATACATCCGTACAAATAGGAGTGCAAAGTAGAAGTTGAAATAACTTGTTTCACAAATGTTGTAAAATAAATACAGTTTCACGTGTTGAAGACATTTGTTTTCAATATCGAATAAAATACTGCATACTTGTTTTTATATAAAAATCAAATTAATTGCTACATGTTGAAGACACTTTCTTGAAATATCTTATGTTTTAAATACCTAATTAAATACTGCTTGTTAAAGACAATTCTTTTAAATAAATAATTACTTCATGGTAATGACATATTTAAATATCTTATTGATTTATTTGCGAAGCAGGTGTGAATGTATAGCGGTGATTCATACTTCTTATAATTCTGCAATATTATGATGGATCTAGGTGTTTTACTGCGATCAATTTTGATAAGGTGTATCTTTGGTTACGCAATGATACATTGACTTCTCCATCTGTGTTAATTTTTGAATGAAAATGTGACTTTTTCATAATCGAATGTCGGCTTTGTTTGTACAAAGCGTGTGCATGTAACCGTGACGGACAGTTCTGGTAAGGATCAATGAGACTTCTGCCTTACCAGTGTACAGATACTCACGCTCTGTAATAGTGTGGCGTTTTTTCAATTGGGTTGTTTAAAACTTATATGGAAAAGTCGTCTTATTTGCCGAGCTAGGTCAATCGCTCTCTACTTCTAGGCATTGCTATTCATTAATGTGTATTCGTGCCATGAATTGGACAGAGGAATAGTTGAACTTTACATGTACAACAAATTGAATATCCTGTATTCACGAATATAACAACCACGGGAATGAAAGTGTAACTGTTAAAAATGGCTTCGTTGGTAGTACCTAAGATAGAGAAAACGTTTACTGAACTTTTACCGGTTACTTCAACGGATATGGATACAGACGAGTGTATCTATTTAATAATCAGTTGATTCTCTTACCGAAAGAACAACGTGTGTCAAAGTTATTAGAATTGTCAAAGAATTCTGAAAATAAACTGCAATGGTACCGTTCAATTTGCTCCGATGAAATATGCACGCGACTGCTTTCTCTTGCAAAATGTTTTGAACGGTGACAATGACGGCGAGGTCAACGATGTTTTCACTTCACATCGAAGTACTATCGCTTCTCAGAAGGATCAAAGTTCGAAATCTCCGTATTCTCCTCGTGAAAATTTCGTTAGAAAAAGTGAGTTAGAAACTATATTCAGTGATATGGTCCTCGTACGGAAAGATCTGTATGAGTTGAGAGAGCATTGCAATAAACGCATAACGTCCGTAAAAGCTGTTGTGAAGGATCTAAAAGCTGAATTAAAGTCTATTAAATCGGAATTGAGACAAGCAGATGACACTGTTGAAAATTTTTTTTCTGATCATATAGAAAACTGCGTTCCTCTCTTTTCTGACAGGATTCATTTGATAACCTCGAAAGTTGTTTCACTAAAACGCCATAGGCAAAGAGTATCCACTGAACATTCCTCAATTTCTCACTCAGTCGAGAATAACAGCTTGAGTCGTTCACGTATTAATGATGAACGTTTCATTAAAGTGAACGAAACTCGCTCTGAGGTTCGTGAGGTTAGAGACAAAATAACAGTGTTTGGTAAGGACTTTCAATCCCATACGTCAAAACTGAACTCTGCCCTAGACAGCATCTCTTCTTTAAAGTCCCGTGTCCGGAAAACAGAGGCTGCGGTACAAGATGGTGTTCACGAATCGCAAGCCAGGACTGATATCGCTGTCAGGGTTCTTACGGAGGGCATTGGTCAACAACTTTCAGTAATGAAATAAGATGTTTTGAATGTAGTCGACAGTCATAACAAAGATGTCTCCTCAAACCGTACAGGTGCTTGTTATCCTAACGCCGAGACATCGACTTCCTCCTCGCGTTGTAAGGATGTCTGTGGAAACCTACAAGGCTCATATAATCATCCAAGCGAACGTGGAGTATCTCTGGTAGTTTCCGGGCTCCAGAAAACGTCTCAGTATGGCGATAGTAAACAGATTGAGACAACCGAAGCTGCTCGACCTACCATCGGTCTTCAAAACCATCCAGCAAAAACAGCTTCTATTTCGAATTTTTTTGCTTCTATAAAGAAAAGGAATTCCAGTGAAAGTGCCGGGTTGGAACATCCTCAGTCTGCAAAAGATAGCGTGAGAAAGAAACCCTATGCTGCTTGCGTTTCACTTACCGCAGAGCAAAAGGCAGACCGTCCAGTTCAGTCAGTTAATTTAACGAGGGATGATGACATCGATACTGGTGGCTTTGTCGGGATGTCTAGGAGGAGAACAACCCGCTTATTCCCGAGTGGCATGTCAGAAACATGCACTACAGAAGATATTAAATCCTACGTAGGAAAGAAAGGTGTCGTTGCTACGTTTGTTCGTTTACTTAAAAGCCGTAGATGGGGTACCGTCTCTGCTCGTGTTAATAACCTTTCGTCTGACATCTTTAAAACGAAGAATCCTGGGTTTGGGCCAAAAGGTGTCAGATGCCGGAAGTGGCTGAGTAAGAACAAGTTTACTGGGGATAACGCCTTCGAAAGAGAGGAATCTGATCATGAAAAGGAAGTGTCTTAGCATGCAAATAGTTTATCGCTCTGCTGTGTACTACTTGTCATTGTCATGAACTCTCTCCGGATCATGTCTTGGAACGTCACCGGTATTATGTCAGCGGTGTCTCATTTACATGATGTTTTAACTAAGGAACAAGTCGATATATGTGGTGTATCAGAACATTGGTTGTTCGAGGGAAATCAACATTTATTTCGTAGTATCCACGAGTCATATGATCCTTCGTAATATCCGATTTTTCTCTCCATCCTCTATTGAATAACAGAGTTCGTAAAGGAGGAGTTGCTCTGATGTGGCACAAGAACATCTCAAGTTGCGTTACTATTATAGACTCTAACGATGATCGTATCGCTATTATTAGAGTAGCGCTTGACACTATGGTGTTATTCATTGTTCAGGTCTATTTGCCAATAGCACAGCACGGTGTAAACCTCGATAGGGACTACATTGTTAAACTTGATGAGCTTTACTGCAACATGTCAGTTGGAGGAGAAGTGATTTTTATTGGCTCTGTGGGCCTCGCTGTCAAATTGCTGCCAATAGACCGGGTCGTGATTTACAAAACGTTATGATACAAATTAACCTTGTGTCTCTTACCAAGCAAACTCCATCTTGTACTTCGCTGTGAAATCTTGGATGACGATTCCTATCTTGATGTTACTAACCATAGGCCAATTATATTAGAGACACATGTACCTCCACCATGACTTTCTAATTGCCTTCAATCTGTGGAGAGAATATCTTACAAGTGGATAACATCTGGCGAGATAAGTAATATACGAAGATACTGCGACAATGTGGAAAGCATTATCAGTGATCGTAAGCTGGAGAATCGTTTGCTCGTGTCGAAGTCTGATATTGATCTTTACACAGAAGAACTTGTGAAAAGTGTTCAAGAAGCAACTAAGGCGTCTTTACCACTTAAGAAAAATTTCGTTCATTTTTAAAATCCTATTGGAAAGGAACTCTAAAACATCATTATAAGGTGATGTGGAGATATCGTTCTGTTTGGACGCCCCATGGAAGGCCAAGATCCCCCGACTCTGAAGTGTTTAGGAAATACAAGGACGCGAAATGTGACTTTCGGAAAGCTCATAGACGTATATCTGAAGAATATCTTCAAAAACTCAATAATGATATCGCTGGAACTGCTGAAGTTGACCAACCTTCTTTTTGGCAGCTGGTTAAATCTCGTCAGAAGACAAATCTCGTTTGTGCTGGGACGGAAATAAATTTCGATGGTGTTAAATAAGAAATCGGATTTGTCAGACAACTGGTCCTCATTTCATTGTAAATCATACAAAGAATCTTGCACTCCTGATTTTGATAACAACTTTAAAACTTATGTAAATCGCAGTGTGACCGAGATATTTCGTTCAAAATGTGAAGAATTTTCATTTCATGAGATTGAAAACTTGCTTTTGGGTAAAGCTCCTGGTCTTGATTTCCTTGTTTATGAAAATTTTTAATTTGCTCATGTGTCACTTTTTCACTGTTTATCAAAGCTTTTCAATTCATTTTTAGTAAACAACTACATACTTTGTCTATTAAAAGAGGCGTTATCTGTGTCTTATATAAAGGACACAATAAGTCAAAAAATTATCCAAATAGCTATCGTGCCATCTCATTGTTGCCTGTTATTCTGCAAATTTTTGAAAAATTGTTTCTAGAAAGATTACAGTCTGAAAACATCTTTAAAGTTAGTCCTCTACAAAATTGTTTCCAAAAGCAAGTTAGTAGTGCCATGACTTCGTTCCTTTTGCATGAAGCTAGTATTTATTTCAAAGATTGGGATAACAATCTTTTCACTTGTTTCTTGGATACTTCTAAAGCGTTCGACTGTGTTTGGCACAACGGTCTTTACTTCAAAATGAACCAAATTGG